TAGTATCATCTCTTCCTGTGATCAGTTATATGAAACACTAAATATACACTGTCCAGTTCATATGGTAGTATCATCTCTTCCTGTGATCAGTTATATGAAACACTAGACCTACAGTGTCTAGTACTATAATCCTTGAGAAATCAGTCCTATAGGTTTTAGGACCACGCTGTTCTAATACTGAAAATACCAAATCTATAAGTAATAGTTATACGTAATAGACATATATTTTTATAGGACCCTCAAAATATCCCTAAAATATTATACCATATGGTTTCATTCCCATATCAAAAATTCATGTTGCTAGAACATAAATATAATGGTTGTAAGTTTGACGAAAAGATATAAAGATAAAATGATAGAGTAACCTTAATGATAACACGTGGATATTAGTGTGACGAAACAACTTGGATATTTTAAAGTAAACTTACAGTATTATTGTCTAATTAATGTAATATAGCAGACTTTATGATAGATGCTCATTACGTTTAACCATAGTTAATATAATCCCAATTGAAATGTGTTACTTAATATTGCGTTATTACTTTGAAGTGTGAAGGTGCATTTTTTATGTTCAAACATAAAAAACTTGACATAAAACCCAAATTGTGAATTTCCTCAAAATGGGCATATCTGTGTAAAACCAAAGGTTGAATGTCTTCAAAATTGACATATTTGTGTAAAAAATCAAAGTGTGAATTTCCTCAAAATGGACATATTTGTGTAAAAACCAAAGTGTGAATGTCTTCAAAATGGACATATTTATCTAAAAACCTGTGTGAATATCTCCAAAATGCACATATTTGTGTAAAATTAAAACGTGAATGTCTTCAAAATGGACATATTTGTGTAAAAATCAAAGTGTGAATGTCTTCAAAATGGACATATTTATCTAAAAACCAAAGTGTGAATGTCTTCGAAATGGGCATATTTATCTAAAAACCAAAGTGTGAATGTCGTCAAAATGGACATATTTATCTAAAAACCAAAGTGTGAATGTCTTCGAAATGGACATATTTGTGTAAAAACCAAAGTGTGAATGTCTTCGAAATGGACATATTTATCTAAAAACCAAAGTGTGAATGTCTTCAAAATGGACATATTTATCTAAAAACCAAAGTGTGAATGTCTTCGAAATGGACATATTTATCTAAAAACCAAAGTGTGAATGTCTTCAAAATGGACATATTTATCTAAAAACCTGTGTGAATATCTCCAAAATGCACATATTTGTGTAAAACTAAAACGTGAATGTCTTCAAAATGGACATATTTGTGTAAAAATCAAAGTGTGAATGTCCTCAAAGGGGAAAGATTTGTGTAAAATGTTTGGATGTTCTAAGCTCGTTTTCATTATGCCTCTGAGAAGGATACATTTATTATAAGTAAACAGAAAAAATAAATAACGTGAAGTTACGTGTACACACGCTAAATGACTTAACTCTGGTGGGACAGCATTAGTCCGAGGATAAATATAGGACACCTGCTAGAATATGTGGTACTACATTACAATTATGTAGAAGAAAATACCATTTTCTTTTAGAGTAGCATAAAATACCCATGCTCCGCTGCGTGATTCTAAGGTCCCCTCATGATTCAAAGAGGTCTCAATGTACCAGTCAAGCGTCTCCATTATCTTAGTTACTTCTATAGCTACCACAATGCGCCAAGTCTTAAATTGATTTGTCTGTTGCCATTTCTCGAACTTAATTCAATTCAATTCTTTTTAAAAGCAGATTGTTTTAATTTAGCTTCTCAAATTCGTTTTTTTTCTTCCTGTGTTTCACTTGAATTCTTTTCATTCTCCAAATTCTACGATATCCTCTGATTTATATTTTTCTTCCCGTTGTTTGTTGCCGTTTCCCAAACTTAGTTCAATTCAACTTTTTTTTAATTCCCTTCCCAATTTTGTATTTGAATTTTTTTCATGTCCCAATATTCTTAAACTATTTTATGCTATTTCCGAAATTTATAAATTATTAAAGCCTTTTCTTTTAAAGCAAATATTATTAGTATTTTCTACACCTTTTTATATTTATGTCTGAACTCTTATTGCAAAATCATCAATATGTTTTCACTGTCTTGTTTGTAGCCTTTCTCAAACTTAATTTAATTCGAGGTTTTGAAAGCAAATAATATTAATTTTAACTTTACATTCTCTCTTTTTCCACTAACACAGATGTAAAATAATTTCAACTTTATTTTGTAGTTTTTGGATGTAACATTATACTATGTTTTATTTGATGTCATTTCCCGAACCTTATTTATTTAAACCTTTTCTAGTATTCTGAGGGTCTGTTCCATAGGTCTTGGGAAATGTTTGGTCCCATATCCTATTGAATTTTTTTCATTTTTGGTAAAAGATGTCCGTTTTTTCCAATTTTTGGCCAATTTGGACATATTATTTTACCATTTTGTTCTTTTTCAACAGTATTTGGCAGAAAACCTCCACATATTATGCATTCAGTAAGGCCCCCAGTGGCACAGCGGTATGTCTGCGGACTTAATACGCTAGAAAATGGGTTTCGATACCCGTGGTGGGCAGAGCACAGATAGTCCTTGTGTAGCTTTGTGCATAATTAAAAA